GATGTGTTAAAACATTGTATCTTAAAATAGCTCTAAGTGCTACTTTTTCGAAAAATTTTAATTTGACTTTTAAACATCAATAACAATCGGCCAAATGTGATATTTTAAAATGTTGTGGTAATCATTTCAGCAAACATTTTCTCTCTAATACATACACAACACCGATTTGCTTAGTAAAAAAACGAGTATTTGTATTACCCGCTTATTCGATTATTTTAGCGGATCATCAAGTGAGTCGATACTTTTTGTAGGAGTGTGTACTATGGGTTATTAATGTGTATAGAAATGAATGTCAAACAAGAACATTTGCAGCACTGAGGTTTCATTTTCATTTTTTTATAATTAATTTTTCTTTATAATGAACATCTTAGTAAACACTCTCTATAACAAACAAAGGCATTTGAATCAATAATTAAAAATATTATATGTTTTGTAAATGTATATTTTTATTTTTTTCAAAATAAAAAAATAAAATTTTTGCACACCTTGATAAATTTATATATAAAATTTGAAATCTTTGGTTCATAATGAGATCTTGCAGTTTGCAGAATTTAACAGGATTATTTTTAACCAAAATAAAGTTTTCAACGAAAGGTATATTATTGCAAAATATTTTTTGGGTTTTACAATTATTTTTGATCATGTTATTATGCCCATGTTTTTTCTATTTTAAATAATTGAATTCAATATAAAAAAGATCGCCAATCGATTTTGTCACACGTGACAAATTCAAATGTCCGCCATGCTGAATGGCACCATAGGAAAAATTTATTCTATTTTTAAAAAATAAAAAAAAAGAAAATATGGTAAATAAATAAATTACACTCTTTTATTTTAAGTTTATGTAATGATGATGATAACAATAATAATTAATTATATAAATTATATAAAATTCTTATAGTCAACACAATCACTTAGATTAGCTCCACCAGCATCTTCAACCAATTTGGAGAAAAGTGTCATCAATACTACAAATTCTTATGGTATTCATGATACTTTTCGCTTTGGTCCAAAATCTATTGAAAGTGATATTTCACCAACTCATCCACTTGAAAATAGATTAAAATATGTGCGTTTGTATAATGAATAAATGAAAATTTTGAATTTACATAAGTAATTATTTTCCATTAATAATATTAGTGGGAAGAAACACAAAGTAATTTGAAACTTACATTACATCGAAAAGTTTATGGACTTCATGCACCAATAAGACAACTCATGGAACGAAGCATTGTATCAAAGGTAAATTCTGATCGATTAATAAATAAAGAATAAGAGTATGGAAAATATCTTATTAAACAATAATCATACTAATATTAATAATAATATTATTATAGGTACAAAGATTCCCAGTTTTAGAATCATCTAATCTTGGATTAGATATTTTAATGGGTAAAGATGAAACAATTGATTTTGAAGATTTCTTGAACGGTTCGTTTTTATAATTTCTAATGATTTTTCAAATTAAAATCACACAACTAATCAATCAATTGTTTGTTCACATTTTTTCAGATCCAAGTCAATCAACAGATATGATTGATATACATTCAGCAATGGAACATAAATATAACATCAAATTATAAATTCTCTTGATATTTTTGTTTTTTTTTTATTTAAAATAAAAAAAGCATTTAAAATCATTGATGAATTCTCTTGATATTTTTATTTTTAAAAAATAAAGAAAGCATTTAAAACTACAATCTATAGGTGAAGGTTTCAAAAGTTTCCATCCCAGTTGAGCAAAGAATTCTTAAAAAAAGATTTTTGCTGATGGAAATGAATAATTGCATATTCTTAAATTTGTCATCTCGTTGTTCTTAAATTCATCATTCAATCTTTATATTTTTTTGGTACAATTAATATTATTTTTTATGTATAAAACTAACACTTACTTCTCCATTAATTTTATATACAAATTTTTTCTTTTATAAAAAAATCAAATCTTATAATTTCAAATATTTAAAAATAAACAACAATGCCATCAAAAACTTATTCAGTTTCCAATTATCAAAATCACAATTAGATGATTTTCGATATAGCTCTTATTCGGTAGAAGAAACAGAGAAAAATACCAACCTTGTGAAAAGGTAAACTAACTTAACTTGCAAAGTTTTAAATTTTTAATAAAAAAATAAATAAATTTTTTAATAAAAGTTGGTGATTGATTAATAATAAAGATGTGATTAAATCTGAAACCATTATGAAAACATTTTTTGAATGAAATTTTTGATACTTTAGTACTTAAGATTTGATAAGAATTTTAATATCACCGTTATTGAATTTACAGGTAATGAAAAACATTATATAATAATATACATTATCTTAAAAATGAAAGAGTTAAAGAGCTAAAATTACCCAATTTATTAAAAATAGTCTTCTAGTTTTATATGTAAATTGAATTGATTCTGAATCTACTACATTTGGGTTTTGTTGCACATGATTTGTGATTTGATTTAAATTTGATAATTCTTTTCCAAATTAAAATCATGGACTGTCTGATTATGAGCAAGTGCATCTACTTTGCTTACCAAGAATACTTCTGGATTAATGTTTTCTGGCAGCCACAATTACAGACTAATTCAAGTTAATCATAAAAAATTTGCATTATTTAGAACAGATCTACAAATAAGGTCATTTTCAGTATATTCAGTTCCATGATTTGTATTTCATGCAATGCAAATACCTGCAGCTGGCTTTACATTAGAGGTTGGTGGTTTGACATGCAAATTATAAATTTAATGGTAAGTCAAATATATTCTATGAACAAAATGAAAAGTATTTGCATGTATGTAAACATTTATATATATCTATATATATAATCTATTGTAGATATGGCAAATAAAAGTTCTGAAATGCTTGGATCTCTAACTAATGGTGTAAAGTCTGCAATAGGATCAATTGGTGGATTAACAAATATGAATGTTGGAATAGAAATACCTGGTTTTGTAAAAAATATGTTTTCTAAAAATTCAACTGTCAAAATCATCATCAAATTCATTTAAGGCTGATTCAGATAGACCAAAGTTTATCAAAAAGGAGGATGAAGGTGATTCAGAATCATCTAGTGGTGGTAATAGTGGTATAGTGGTCCATCATCATCATCATCAGCTGCTGCTGCAACTGCAGTTTCATTATTTATGACTGGAGAAAAAGATAATGATGAGAATGATGGTGAAGATTCTGGAGCACATAAAAATAAACGTGGTATTCCAGCACAAGATGATGAATTCATGGTGCTTAAAAAAATTGATAGAAGTTTGTAATATTTTAATTAGCATTGATCATAAAGAGGCATTAAAATTACCAAGTATTGTAGTAATCAGTAGTCAAAGCTCTGGCAAAAGTTCTGTATTAGAAGCAATTGTTGGTCATAAATTTTTGCCAAAGTAAGGTTTTCCTTTTCTTTGATTTTAATATTAAATTTTAATATAATATTAAGAATATGCATTTTAATTTCTAATTTTTTGATTGTTTAACTGATTTTTCAGAAGATCAAATATGGTTACTCGGAGACCAATTGAGCTAACATTAATACATGTAAAGAAGAATATGGTGAATTTCCTCAACTTGGATTAGGAAAAATACATGATTTTTTACATATACAACAAATCTTAATTTGGCAGCACCAGAGTCTGAATGTGTTTCCAACAAACCAATTGAACTTCATATCTATTCACCCAATGTTCCTGACTTGACTTTAATAGATTGCCCTCTTTTTCAAAAAGAAGCAACTTCAAATCAACACAATGATTGGAAGTAAAACAATGCCCATTATTATTTACTCCGCAATGTTCGGGTGTAACGTCATACATAGTAAATTTGCAAAAATTTTGTTTGCACTACAACATAAAATTTTTACCAACTTTTGATATGTCAACTTTTCGTATTACAGGAATTTGTGGGTCATTGAGAAAAGAAAGCGTCAATAAAAAATTGCTGTTACGTGCTCAACAATTATGTTTACAACATTTACCTGAAGCTACAATTGATATTGTTGATTGGAGTCAAATACCTGTTTATAATGGTGTATGTTCTAATATAATAAATAATTATTAGTGTTAGATTATTTTATTGATTGATGAAGAAAATGGTCAACGTTTTAATTTTCAGGATTTAGAAGCAAATCCTCCAGAATCTGTATTGAAATTTAAAGATGAAATTGCAGATCGAGATGCTGTATTATTTGCCACTCCAGGTAAAGTTATCAATTAAAGAATTAATTAAAACAATCGTAATTATTAATCAAATCTTTTCATATAGAGTATAATTGGAGTATTCCAGGTAAACAAATGAATAAATAAAATTTTTAGAGAATTTTTTTCCAATACGCCTCATCTATTTATCTATCTATTTATCCGTTTATCTAGGACCATTAAAAAATGCAATCGATTGGGCAAGTAGACCAAACATTGGTAATCGTGGTGCGGTATTTTCTGGAAAAGCTGTCGCAATAATGGGAGCAGCACCTGGAGATGGGCCTGGAGCTTCTGGTACTGGTCGTGCTCAACTTATATTGCGTCAATCTTTTGTTTTTTTTGATATGGTGCCAGTTAATCTGTAAGAAAACAATGAATTTTTTTGCATTATTGTTTGAATATTTTATTAAATGTATATTTACGATATCTATCATATTTTATGCAAATAATGATGACGATGAATAGACCAACTGTAATGGTTACTGGAGCTTATAAAGCATTCAAAGAGGATGGTAGTTTGATTAACGAACGTATTGAACAAAATATTGTCAAGGTGTTGAAAAATCTTGTAAAATTGGGTAAAAGTTTAAAAAATGCAGAATAAAATGGCGAACAAATTTATCGGGTTAAAATTTTACCCAGAACATATAAATAATAATAATAATAATAACATATATATAAACTTACAAAACAAGATGACTGTTCGCGATATCTTTACGCTCTTCCTTTCAATAATAAACAGAATGTTATCCTTTTGGTCTTCATGAATAATAATTGCCGGTTCAATCAATATTGAAAAGTTATGCAACTAGTAATTTTTATTATCATCTATCATGTCAAAGATAAATAAATGTTTAGTAACTAGTCAAATTTTTCATACCATTTCCATATACAGTCAAACCTCATTATAACGGACCTTGTTATAACGGATTTTTGTTATATATTAATATACCAAACAAAATCCTATCCCTAGTAAAAAAAAATCCATATTGTGTTCTTCTTTGAAGTGAATGATTAGTTTATTTTAAAAATGTCAAAATTGTTTTTATTGATATTGAAATAATCTTATCACTTACGCCAGTTGATGAAGGAATTAAAGAAAATGTCATATTCCAATTAAAGATGCTGTTACTGCTTTTGAAACTGTTCGTAATTTTTTGAACAAGATACAATGGTTAGAATTAGATTATAATGAACTCAAAGTGTTTCGTGATTAAAGAAAAAAATTAATTTGTATAATTCTAAAAGTTTACAATTTTTATTGTTTAAAAGTATCACGTGATGATCTCAGTTACCGAATACCTCGTTGTAATAATAATAATAACGGATCATTGGGGCCGAGTTCGACCGTATATCTATACTCAAAAGTTAAATTTTTGAAATATTATATGATCCACAGATTGAATTTTAAAAACCCCACCACCATTCAATTCAGCTTTAAAAGGGGAGTCTATTAATCTAAAAAAAAATTTGTCTCAAATTTTCTTTTCAT